TAATCTCCGAAGTGATCGAGAGCATCTGGGACAGGGTGGAATCACCTCCACCTGAGTCTCCTCCGTACGCCCTCCACTTCCTGGAGAGCGAGGTCTTCTCGGTGAGAAATCCTGGATTCTCTTATCACCACGAGGTAGTCGAGGAGCTGAAGAAGATGTTTCAAGTTGCAACGGGGAGAGACCCCTGGGCTTTATCTCTCCATGAACTCCAATATCATATTCTCCGGCTGGATGACGTCAACCTGAGGTCGGGGATGCTGAGTAAATTGGGGAAATTGTGTCGAGGCCTCAGGGAACCCTCGAGGTGGGGGACATTAACCGGGTCGAGGTACCATATTGTGTATAATTTAGTCGCCGGGTTTGTGGGAAAATTTTCAGGGGTGAGTGAAAATGTTAAATCGCACTGCAGGAGGTGGAGTGGATGTCAAGGGGGTCAGGACGATTTATCAGGGTGTTTATCTTGGGGTATTGGAGGGGAATCCCAGACGTACGGGGAGTCGGAGGGAGGTGACAATGGGGTGATTGCACTCACTGGCTCCGGGAATTCTAGTTTATCTGGGGCAGAAGAGTATTGGGACACTGGGGGGGATTATAACGAATTTTATCACGAGGTTTTTTACGCAAGGATTCATCAGCTGTTGGGGGACACTTTGGAGATGATATCAGCTGGTGTCGATGGAATTTGTCGACTCGGAGAATTCTCACATGAGAAATAAAATGTTTTTGAATAAATTATTCATTTCATTGTATTCATTATTGGATGTTCATTAATTATTATTATTATTTTTATTGTTATTATTATTGATTTTTAATTTAAATTGAGCTTGAATTTGATGAAAATATTTTCGCATAGGAATAATTTCTAGGGATTTCCTAATAAAATTCTGATTTATCCCATTCCATTTTTTTTTTGACTGATGCAAAATCCAAATGACACGAGAAAAATGAATATCTCAATCATTTGTTTTTCTGCCTCTACCTTTCAATTAAATTACACTGTAAAATTAAAAAATCTGTGGTGAAAAATTCTCAGTGGATTTGGATATTCTCTTTTTTTATGAAACATGGCATTATCAGTACCGGAATTTCTGATATTATGCGGAAGTCTCTTCCTAATTGGTGAGTATGAATTATTCAGTGGACAACCTCAATGCAGATAATGAGACACCGAATCTCCGGCGGATGCTCTCCCCGAAAATAAAAACTGTCATTAAAATCGTGATTTAAAATGAAAAAAAAAATGTTGAACCAGTCCTGCAATGAGGGAATTATTGATTAATTAATTGAGAAATTATTGTAGACAGCTTGTCTTCCGCAGGATTTCTTATTCTCGAAGTGATTAATTGGGGTAAAATCATATCTTCCCTCGGAAGCAATCACGAGTTGGAGGTAGCAGTTGTTGAAAACTCCGACTGTGAGGATGAACGTGAAAGTTTATCTCGGAAACACAGCGAGAATTTCGAATCTCCGGTGAATATCATACCTCGACAGGCTGTGGTCATTGAAGTTTCTGAGCCGCTCAAGTGGTGCGGACACTCGGTACCACCAATTGCCATGACAATGTCCAACAGTGGAGATACAGGTGACGAAAAACTTCAAATTCAATTGAAACATGTGCTCCTTTCGCACTTCAACTTTCACATTTTCCGACAACCATCAATATACTCTTAAGCAAATATATACTTGACATGAGTAGAAGCTGTCCTGATTACAACAACTAATTTAAATTTATCCCCAAAGTGACGATCCAAGCATTTTGGACTCGTGGCCTAGTTCCAAGTATTTTCGGAGGCCCTTTGAAGCGGACTTATCAACTCCACTCGATCTCCTTCCGTTGGGGTGTGTCTGATCAATCCGGTAGTGAACATTGTATCGATCAAGTGAAATATCCCTTTGAAATGCAACTCCTGCACGTAAAAGAAACTAATCCGCAGGCAATTGTCGACGAGAATTCCGAGGATATTGATGCAACAATTGTATCATATCTCTTTCAAGTAAATTTCTCATTAAATAATAGCGGATGACAGCTCTTGATGAGCAGTGATATGTGATCTGAAATCGAGAGCAATTTATGGAGAATTTAATGAATATTCCAGATCAAAGACAACGATAATCCCCTACTCGACCCCATTATAATGAATCTCTGTAGAATTCAAGAGGCAAATGCAAAGGTTTACATACCCCCATTTCAGTTGGACACTGTATTTCCATTATTCGAGAGAAAATTCTACAGCTACAGCGATAAGTTGAATCAACCATTCGGAGAAATTGCCACATGGATAATTTATCCGGAGCCACTGCCTCTCTCAGCAGCTCAAGTAAGATAAAAAGACTCGTCGATTTTCAGAGATGAAAATTAAAATTAAAAATTATTCCTTCAAAGATTAGAGAGATAATTGGAGATAATCAGAGATAATTAGAGTAGTTTGAAAATGCCATTTTATTTCGTATTTATTTTCTCATTTTTACTCTCATTTCGTCAAATGAATTAATCTCGTGGTCCCTAGATGGAGGAATTGAGAAAAATTTCCACAGCGACTTCCAGACCAATGAAGAGCTTTGACGAGCAAGACCTCTACTACCACGAATAATTTTCCAATTAATAGACTCATGTTATTACATCTTTATACGATGAACAATTTATTTCTTATCCTTACACACGTGTTTCTAATCTTACATCAAGATCTCCCTCACAGAGACCTCATCAACACTTAATGAAACTCTAAATCCACTGTACACACAGAATATTTATCAATATTCACCTATATTACAGTAAATCAAATGCATTAAAAAAATTCAGCATAACAAATGCTTTAAAAAATATATGCGCCAATCAATTTATTCATTTGTCGTTTGAAGTAGAATTTTATTAAAAATATTTGTGTTTATTTTCTGCTCTTTCTCATTTTTTTAATAGTTTGAGACTTTCATTATTAGCGGATCGTTTCATCTTCCGGCTTTTGTTATTGTAATTTCACGTCGAGTGGTGGAATGTGACGAGGCTCATTCATTCCTTGCGATAGTATATTTTTTCAGTGTAGAAAATGTCAAAATATCTCTGCAAAATGGCGATCGAGAGGAGTCCTATGAGTTTTAACTCACGGATTAGTGGAAAATCAAATAAATAAATTCGGTTCCCGCACAGATCATTTTTTTTATATTAAAAACATCATAATTTGTGTAGAACAGAGAATTCAATCTCCAAATATATGACGTGAATTTTAAAAAGAAAAATTATTGGAAACTCTCGGCAATTAAACCTCATAGTCTTCTCTTAACGTGAATCAATTAATTGCAGTGATTGTTCATGGATTATGACCTCTGAATTAATGCTCTCCTTATAATTATCATTAACTTCAAATTTTCAATCGTCAAAAATGATCAGAGAAAGTCCAACGCATTTGAATTATTCAAACTCCTAATAATCAATTTTATGTACACGAAATGGTCAAATGTCGCAGGCAATTTTACGAAGAAAAAAAAAAATCGAACAGTTATTCGTTCACAACACAATCGACTCTACATTATCTCGTTGCACTCGCACGACATTTCAGTGTTATCGTCGAAGAAATTGACGTTCAAGTGGCTCTTGTGGGAATATTCACCTGCTCCAGGATTCTCCATTAATATCTGTCTTGTTTAAAGTTCATTATCGGTTTTATACATTATTTCCCGAATTCTTGGTTCTTTCTTATCCATAAGGACCTCATTTCAATTCACATTTTTGCCCAAAGTACGAAATTTCCACTGGGATATCATATACATCTGCCGGACGGCCATCAGAGCAAGGTGTATCACCATTATGTGAATGAGATGGGCTCTTCCTTTTGTTATCCACCATTTTGTATGTCTCTCATTGTTTTGCACATCAAAGTTGATACAATGATACCAACAGTCTGCGAATAGATAATAGGGCATGATAAATCTATGTGATTTACCAGAAAAATTCAAGTCTAATGATGAGTTTTTCAGAGATATCTTCGCAATTGAGGGGAATATTGAAAATGGTAATGAGACATTTTTTGTAGAGTTCACCGAGAGCTACAAAAAAGGTACTGACATTTTTCAGCTATTTATGTAAGTGTTGGAGGTATTTACGAAATATAGGAGATTTTGTTGCTGAATTTCTCAGTCTTTGAATTTCTAGAGATAGTTTACCTGAATTGCTGCCATTATTAGCCCCATAAAAACAAGTTTGAGGCTCTCATATCGCACCCACACCGTCACTTTTTCCATACATCCCTAGGGCATAAGGAAAACTGTAGAATAACATGAGGTGCAAAGAATTATGAATAATGTAACGAGGGCTTCAATGGATTTCAATAAAAAAAGCTGTTCATGCACGATTTAATATCGCAATCATTCTGCATGATTATTCTGCTCCAATATTTTTAATTAGAATAGTCATTGCCATTGATTATTGAAAATAAATAAATTAATTTATGGAATGAAAATTTCGCAAGAGATTTCACTTTGTTCTGTTTGATTTTATCGGGAGTGAGTGAATTTTCGGTGGAAAAATGTTCAAAAAATCTTGAACAGACTTTAAAACTCTGGAAAAATTCTGATAATTAAAATCCACCTCTTTGTGACGGTATCCTAGCTGTGCCATTGGATCGTCAGACTGACATGCGATTTCATCCTTAGGTTGCGGCACCACCCAAGGCTTTTCATTCTACCAGTAAAAAAAAACAATGAAAGAATTCGTTATCTCAAAATATCACCCTTTTAGTGAAGAATTCTACTTACATCTTTGTGAAAGACCCGGGAAACTACACTCATAGGACTCCCCGCGTTCTTTACCTACAAAAGTTTTCACGTGAAAGTACAACGATAAAAGCGACAAAAAAAAAAGGCCAAGCACTTTATCTCGAGGCAAAAAATAAAAAATATGATAGCATTACTTAACTATGAAAGAAAGAACTGAAAAGCCCGAAAGGAACTGAAAAGGTGAAAACAAAATTTAATTTCGTGCATAATGTCAAAATCATGAAAATAAATATGACGGTAAGAAGAAAATCAGACAGAAACGGCCGTGACATTTTCTGCTGAAATCACTTGATACCGATATTCAAGGGTTAACGCTTCAGAAATTCATAATTGCAGTTTGAACCGTCAATGGTAGAGAGGAAAATCCTTCACCTCGTGGTTCTTAAGTATACAACAAGTGAGAGGGACTCTTCTATTTATTCCTGTCAGCTTGAAGTCTCTCCACCAGGCAGTGCCATTGTAATCACTATCCCCATAAATCCCACAGCAATTGAACTGAAATAATGGAGATATCAGTGGAAAACGTCTATCGATTGATTGAATTCGAAGGAAGAACTCACAAATTTAAAAAAAAAAATGCGGAGAAAACATGAAACGTCAAAATGACATTTGTTAATGGAATAATTCAATTGATAATTTAAATACTTCAGCCTGTGATAAATTGAATTCAAAATCAGTCATAATTTCATAATATTTTTTCTCAAGTGGAGTGTTTCTTGAATATTCAATCGCTACCTTGTATTGGGAATAATCGAGACTCTGTGTAAATGCCAGATCACTGGTGGAATCGTGTCCGTAGTGATCTGCAAGTCTCTCCAGTAATCTCTCTTCTAGTCCAGATATTCCTCGGTACGCTAAAAAACCCCCGACGGCTGCAGTTGCCAATTCTGTTATAATGAGGACCACCAGTGCAACCACGTACTACAAATAAATAGAACGAAATAATCATCGGTACTCAATAATATGAAGTCCCAATAAAGTCTCGACTATCCAATTATTTCTTCAACAAAACCACTACTCAAGGAATACTTCTCCAATCAAATTGAACAATAACATTCCCTCCTAATTGCTTCCACAAGAGCTCTCTTGGTTGATGAATAATTTATCCCAGCAGGTGCATACATATTTAATTACTTTGACTTCCAACTAATTGCCGATCTCATTGATATAAAATTCGAAATGGCTCATCGACGAATATTTGAAGTGAGTAAAACTGATAAAAAAATGCGAGTTGGAAGTCATTGTTTTATTACTCACCGCCGTTATTATGCATTGGCTTCCGTACAAAGATGCTCGACATCCTACAAATCCCACTGCTAGGACAATGAATCCTAATCCTAGGAGGCTGTATGCAACGATATGAACTGTGTAATGGGGTGATGCACTCCGTACAAATAGATTCAGCAGGTGTCCATTGCTGGGCTCGAGCAACAGCCAGACACCAATAACTACCACCATAAATCCAGCCAACTGCCCACCAACCACAATTATTCAATTAATTCAGTGGTCAATTAATCAATAGCAAATTGAAGTGAAGCCAATTTTTACGCGTACTGAATTTTAATTTGTGACACAAAAAAAAACAGGATGAGGTAAATACTAAAATCACTTCAGTTTTCGTGATGTGGAATTTATGATTAAAATTACTGAACTAGGTCATTTTTTAAAGGAATTCCTCTTCGTGGGGTTCATTGTGATTGAGCTGCGAATATTTTGTCATTGTTATACTGACCTATGAAATTTTTTTCTACAACATGCGGGTAACGGTTATTATAATTTTTTCTATATTCAGTGAAAAAGTGCAGTTAGAATTACGATTAATTACCCATATCAGCAAGTTGAACATAAAGAGAGAGATCTTCAGGTACTTCATCGCGAGTTGTCACCGATGTCATGCAGTACTCATTGATCTGGAAATTATTTACATGTAAAAGGCGGTAATCAGTCGCGAGTGAGTCACAAATTAATTTAGGTAATGGATAAGCCTCGAAGGATATCTCCGAGCCCGAGGGTCGTAACGATTTTTATGTCAAAACGTTACATGCAGATCTGATTTCACTCTACAAAGACCGTCCCACCAAAATTTTCGATATCTTTCTTAAACTCCGATTCTCTTAGATATTCCTTGAAACGTCGACTAGGAAAATGGGAAAAAATTATTTTCACATCATCCGAAATCTAATTATCTTGAAACAATTTAGTATTTTTACTTCCATATTTTATTGAAGAGAATAATTCATATTTTCATTGAACAATAAAAATTTGAACTCATCAAAAAAATTTTGGCGGTAAAACCCTGAGGATTCCATTTTCTACAAAATATTCCATTTTCATCGGAGATTTTTTTTGAATATTTTTCCTCGAGAGGAGAAAATATCGAAAACAGATACGTCATGCACTTTCATTATTAAAAACGTCAGGAGTTATTTATTCGTTTCATTTGCCACATCAACGGTCACTCCCGGATATGAACGGAATTAAAAAATTAATCTAATTTGGAGACGGCAAATTCCCGGAGAGAGCGTGTTGACACAATTTCTGCTAGAATACATCACACATTTAATTACACTAAAATAAAAAAACCAGAAATTCAATGGAATAAGTGGTCGTAAAAGAATTCACATTCATCTCGCTGCACACCATGAGAAACACGAGACCCTAGAGCTCTTCAAAAGGGTTTAAAACCATAATTATGAAAGCTGCAATATAAAGATCCTGGGAAATTACTTAAATACTACACCCGGAGAACAGCTCGACAATCCCGCGTCGGATGGAAATTAATTAAAAATCTACCTCGACATGCATCAAGTTCCACTTCAATAATTTTATTCCAGTAAAATCCTCAATTTTTAATCCCTAAAAAGGTGAAATGATATTTCATTACCGCTTAACTATTTCCCAAAATTTGCAAATTCCCCTGGAAAAAATACCCAAAACTAAAAAAAATCTATTTTACTCAGTAAATTGCACCACTTCACTGCACAATTCGTCGTGATAAAGAACTCAAATAATTCTGAATAATAAAAAACGAAGTGAACGATGGATTTATGAAGAAATAAAGCCGAAATCGCGAAATCCTTACTAGGTGTCAAAACATTGTTCACAGGTGGGCGAATCTATTGATTATCATTTCACTGGATTATAGTAAATTCGCTGGGATTGGATGTAATATGGAGATAAATCAATGAATACGAGGGTAGAGTGTTCACATATTCGAATTGTTCGATGGAATACGTGAAGTCGCGAGGAGATGATGGGAATGGAAGAGCTACGAGTGAGTTTTTCCGTGTCCACGTTCGAATTCCATCTGCCCGGGTTGATCACCACCCGTACCTTCCACCACCAATTCTCTTACCTCTAACATTTTGCGATTGCGCTACAACGCTCCAGATGCGTCTGCGTGGAGGCTGTCTTGTCATCCTGATCTTCTCCACAGCATTCACCGAGTGGAATCCCTTCCACATCGACAACATTTTCATTCGATTCCTCGTGATATCTCGATTGGCATCAGAAAGAGGAACCTAGGTCTGGAAAATGTATTCAACCTGAGGAATAAAGGAAAACAGCCCTTTTCGCTAATTAAATTGCAATCTGAAAAATTTCTTCGCGGAGCTATAGGCGAGAGGTAAATAGGGTGGAACATGATAAATTCAGAGTCGTTAATTAATTAACAAATTTTATACAATTTTATTTCACATTTCTCTCCACTTACACATTATTCAACCATTACTCTCTGTAATAATATAATTATCATATCAAAATAGGCATCACGAGTTTATTCAGATACTGTAGACCCAATCAAATGACTGAGGGGCTGGGGTGGATTAGAATTTATCGCATTAAACTCAGTGCGAGCGAGACTTTCCCGGATGTATGCGTGAAAAAGCTGAAATTACAACTGTAGTTTTTAACAAAAAATTGGCAGTACTCGCAAACCCCGAGGGATATTGTTGAATCGTTCTACTGCAATCCCTTGAATATTTTTTTGCGACGTATGCAATCATCGAAAATTCACTTCCATCGACTGCGATTGCTTGTTCAACACATTAATAACAATAATAATTACTCATGACAATAAATTAATCGTAATAATGAAAATAACCCGAAAAGAATTATAATTGTTACACCGACGTAAATTTACTCACAATGAAAAGTCTTTGTAAATGACACAATTTGAATTATCTTGAAGGCAATCTGATACTTGAAAACTCCACCGTATGATGAAATTTTGAATTAAGTACATCACGGCTAATTACCTGAATAAATCATTAACATGAGCAAACCTCGAATTGTTATAAATAATAAAAATATGATACACAATAAAAACACGTAATGAAGGAAGATGAACTATTGAATTTCCAGCATTTCGTTGGAAATCCTATCGTCCTATCAAATCACCTTCATCACATTCCCCACACATAGCCATGTACAATTATCACTCACACAAGTAATCATCCCTCAATTATGCATTATTTTCACACGTTAATAAACTAATCACTTAAGCCTATGGGACGGCAGCTGACTTGGCACATAAAAATTGTGTGTCAGCCCACACAAAGTGTTCATGCACTCGAGAATAGTGAAAAACTATCGAGTATTTGATTTCATTGATTTTCTCCATAAAAATTTGAAGAGAACACGTGTTGATTCACACAAGGTCTTCACCCTCGCAATACAGATAAATAATATCACAAGAATGAAGAGGGGATAATTATAATTCAGTGGTGGTTTCCACTGGACTCTGATCTGTTAAATAAGAAAATCCGAGATGTGAGTAATCCTTTCGTTCCCTGAATGTCACGTTGTCATTCGATGGACTCGGATTCAACAACAAATCGTTGTGATTGAACAGTGGATTTAGAACAGGTGTATCAATGGTATTTATTGTATTCGTATTGCCCACATTTTTTCGACCCATTGTGGAACGTTTTAACGAGTGAACACCAGCATCTGGATGATTTCCAGTGATGCTGGAGGCACGAACTGTCGTCGCTGCTTCAGAACTCACGGGACTCTGTTGACCTGGAAATTTTTAATTGTCCAGTTGTTGAATATTTCACGAAAATTTCACCGCGAAAATTAATGACCAAATAATTAGGCGGTTTTACGATTGTTTAATGGGGAGAGCACTTGCCTGTACTGCCACTGTGATCTTTGGTGATGTAGCTGACATTGTCCAGACTGAATGCGTGATTTTTATTACTAAAATCAATCTGCAGATCGTTGTAACTATCGTTATCATCGTTTGGTACACTCATTCTGAGTACCTGAGTCTCGTACTCTTTGAGATCGGTTTCTACGAATACTGGATCGTAACGAGGCACTACGTACATACGCTGCATGCGATCTTTGTACGCTTTGTACCTGTCACAAGATTCGTTAATCAGTTTCAAAACAATTTCGTTATAAATCCCCTCATGTTTAATACATTTTAATAATTCGTGAGAACCGCTAAATTCAACTTCCGAAAAACTTCGAATTCACTATTTTTTACAATTGAATCGGTATCGGATTCCAATCGAATTAATAAACGAGAAAACTCACGAAATAGGACAAACTCCAAACTGATTTCCATTCACGAGATTTTCTGGTAAAAATTTCACGGAGAAAGGGAAAACTATCAACAATCTTTTCAGCGCGAAAACCATTGGAGAATTAATCTGCATTAAAAAAATCGACGGCGATCGATAAAAAGTGGAGGTGGAAGCCGCGAAAGGGGCAATTAACAAAAAAAAAGAAAAAAAGTCGCTCGAACTTCAGAAGCAATTAAATCTCAAACATAATGAGTGCAGTGTTCATTAGCATCATCACGAGATTTATAATTGAATTGGTATCGAATTTCAATTACCTTAACGAACAAAGAGTTAACGGAGAACTTACCTAGACCATGATACGCAGATATAGATTATTCCAGCGATGCCCAGTACAAGAATAATGCAGGCAATAATAATGAGTGCGTACGGAAATACTTCACCACTAAATGCAACTGCTGTCTGAGTGCGTACGGTATCTGGTGCTGTTACTGGTGCATGTATCTCAATGGCATTTGCACCGAGAGCAGCGGAAACATCGAAAAATATCGATGATACCAATGCCTTGTCCACCAACATTCTGAAAATTAATTTTACCCTGAGTAAACAAGCTACGGACGTCAATTCATATTGCACAATTATTGTTCATCAACGTTCAATTACTCGTCACCGATATTCGTAACCAATCAGTTTCATTCCACCATTTTTATCGCTATTTTTACCCCGAAATTAATGAAGCTTTTGGATCGTCAGATGTTGTCTACTAGACTGAATAAAAACGTTCAATTAAACGTATCAGTCTCGTCATTGTCCAAGGCCTGCAGTTACGTAAAATAAATACAACGATTTTGCGAGTAACAATGCGACTAGTTTATTCTATTGAGTTATGGGGAATTGCAGGCTGATGAATATTTATTGTCAACGAATTAATTTTATTTCATTAGTTAGTGACTAATCACTGATATTACGTCACGGAGTTGACTCTCGTTTTCGTCCGGTGGATGTTATGTTTAAACTTTGACTTGGGGACGTTCCCCAAGTTTTTTTATAGTTTTTATTGTCTTTTTCGTCTTTCCTCCTGTAAATATAAATAAATGACTTTTCCACCAACCTTTGCAATAGTGAGCTATTTCTATCGATAATAGTTTCAGTCTTGGGATCAATAGCGTAAAACCACACGTCCGAGTCTAACGGATGGCTCTCGACAGTCCCATTCTTCGTAACAGTCTTTCTCACAGCAATTTTGTCAATATCGATAATCAGTCGCGATTTCTCTTCTAAAATCCTGACAATCTTGGAAGCGTCCTTCTGCACAGAATCGGGCGACGCGTCCCGAATAACTAAAACGAGTAGATCTTCCTCATCAATGAGATTCACGACAACTCTCGCCTCGGCACTGTGAAATCTCGTCCCATTAGGATGATCTCGCACTCGTACTTTAAAATTGAATGGAAGTTCCTCTTCACCAACGTTATCCAGGGTCGCAGCTGTCTTTATGATGCCCGAGGAGCTATCCATCATCAAATACTGAGTGCCACGACCCTCCAGCATCTTATACTCCAATTTGCCAAACTTTCCGTTGTCTTTATCTTGAGCTTTCACTTGCAAAACTGTCGAGGAAAATTGTGCGGCCCTCGGGATTGATGCGAAGTATCGGCTTTTGCGGAGATTTAAGGGATCATCCGGAAATATAAACTCCGGTTTATTGTCGTTTACGTCTAGCACTTGTATTTTCACCTAAAACGAGGAGTTCGATTCGTTAACAAATGAGATGTTATTCCTTGCGTCATTGAATCGAAAAATTACCGGACACAATCAATACCAAATTGCTAGAACAACTTCACGTCCTGGTGATTTATTCACCAATTACTACTTAAGATTCGAGTTTTACATGGAAATGTGATTAATCTGCTTACAAAAGCCTGAGTAATTACCATAGTGGTATTCCTGTGAGAATTTAATAGACCAGAAGACGATTCCAATTTAATTTTGATCTGATAGCTCTCGGTAGTCTCATGATCGAGTCTCCCCTTCTTGAGCTTCAGTGCGCAATTTCTCTCCTCATTGATTGTTGCCTCGAACAATCCCTCCTCATTACCACTGTAAATTTCACACGTCAAAGGGGTAGAGTCATGCGTATGACTGTTTATAACGGTTAATATTTTTATGAGTGTATTGTCCTGGGCATCCTCAGGCACATCAACATTGTAAGAGTCCTCGGCAAAGCCCAAACCAACTTCTGGGGCCACAGTTGCCACATGACGTACATAAATTGGCACTGTTGTTACCGATGAAAGCTGAGGCTCACCGAGGTCGTACGCCCTGACGTCAACCTTCAATAAAAATTACTAAATTGTACTTCAATTCATTTAATCAATGTGAAATTCGATTCCTCAATTTGTCCCCGTAATTTACCTGATATTCCGAGTCCATTTCTTTCCGCAAATCATCACGGACTGTTAGTGCCCCAGTATCTGGGTCGATTACGAAGTACTTCTGGGCTATTCCCCGACCGATTATCTCGTATCGAACCTTCAGTGATTTATTTGCATGATTAATTACTTGAACTTCTCCAGGAGGTATTCCATGAAATAATAATATCATTACCTGATTACCCGGAGCGGTACCATCCGAGTCAAGAGCCATCAGATTGATCACTGTAGTTCCAATGGGAACGTCGTCGTCGAGGGTGATTGGACGTGAAACTGTTGTGAATACCGGTGGAATATCATTGGCATCCTGAAAAAATGAATCCCCAGATTACATGTTAATCGAGTTGATCCACGATTACAGTCATGGGAATTACCGCGTGCAATTGAACAACTGATATACCTGAACATTAATGACTACTCGAGTAGTTGAACCCGGCAGATCACTCGTGTTCTCCAGCGTACCGACGATGAGAATGTGCTGGCTGTCTCTCTCGTAATCTAATCCTCGATTTGTCCGGATGATCCCGGTTTTTGGATCTATACTGAAGAGGTCAGTGTCTCCTTCCTTAATCACGTACGTGATCTGCTTCTTCGTGTCTGGATCGTCAGCCTGGAAATTATCCGAGTGTAAAAGGTGAACGAATTATTCCAGCAAGACGATGACACTCACAACAACTTGGATGACCATGTAATCGGGTACATTCTCCTTGACCCGCGCCTCATAACTACTCTGATGAAACACTGGTACCTCGTCCTCAACATCGATAACTTTCACTGTAACTGTTGCCGTTGCTAAACGATGATCTGGTGCACCATCTCGAGCAGTTACAACGAATTTATATTCCTGAATGAATAACAATAAATCACGAGCTTATTACCATGCACCATTAGCCCTCGAGAATGGATAGAGCATTAGGTTGAGAGATAACGAAATAAAATTGTTGGTAATCATGATAATGTTTATGATTCCTTGGGAATTTTTGCAGCATTAAACTCACGTGATTCTGCTCGTAATCGAGGGCTATTTTTGTGAGAACGTCGCCAGTCTCTGGATCCACAGTGAATGGTATATCATCGGGTGCGAAATACGTGACCTCAGCATTGATACCTTCATCGGCATCCTCAGCGTGCACATGTCCAATGAGTTTTCTCGCTTCACCCTCTTTCACTTGAAATTCATAAGGCAATCCCACAAACTCGGGATTCTTGTCATTAATATCCGTGACCCTGATGTTAACTGTCGCTGTACTGGACAGTCCACCGCTGTCCTCTGCCTTTATCAGCTGTTAAACCAGGAAGAATCGAGTGTTACATGACACTCTCGGGGTGGATGATGGAGAATAATGTTTGATATTCATGCTTCAACGTCGATGGCGAGGGGGACATGAGTAATGAATGGGTTGGTAGTGGGATTTTTTTTTTTTCTTACTATTTTACTTTACGCTCGATGATGTTCGACTGCCACTTACCAGCTGATAGCGCGTCAAGTCTTCCCTGTCCAACTTCCTTATAACGGTAATAACGCCTGACTTGTCACCGATCGCAAACTGCCTCAAGTCATTGCCCGAAACTATAGAGTACGAGACGGGATCGTTTTCGGGGTCCAGGGCCTGTTGATGTCCGGAATAAGGATTAAACTTTATTTAAAACATTAAAAAAAATTATGCGATGTTTTTAATTGGTTTACAGAATTAATTCATGGTAAACCAACTGAAAGTTCGTTAATCCATCGACTCTGTGGAACGTCGAAACGGAATCGCTGATTTCTCTTCAAATTTGTACTTTCAAATCAACACTAGTTCCTATGAATACGAGTTTGGCGTAAGGAACAGCATAACACGAGCTCTCTGCGCCAAGAACTCAATAAAAAATGAATAAAATCCGCAGCACCCATTAAAATATCAAATAAATCGAAGCACTCGGACGAAAAAATACGTTTCGTCTTTGAGAATTAATTTCGTAACTCCCCAGTTGCATTAAAATGTTTAGTAATTTCGTAGGAATTTTTTCAGGAACGATTCTATCCTTTTTTCAATTTAATTGATAATAAAGAAAATTGACTTGGATATTAAAAAATCGTGGAGATCCCCACCACGAGAATTATGCAAAAGTGGATGTAAAAATGTGCATACCGTAATGGTTGCAACTGTGGAATTGATGGAAGCCCCTTCGCTGACTTGCACTTCGTAAACAGGTTCCTGGAAGACAGGACTCCTCGTGTTTGGTCCAGGTATGACATTAACTTCAACAATAGTCTGTGAATACCTGCCACCCTTGTCAGTGGCTTGAACAGTGATGCTGTACTGTTCCCCAGCATTGAGCTTACGTACAGACTCGATAACACCACTTTTTGGATCAATTTTGAATTTCTGGAGTCCATTATTGGACACGTGATAAATACTGTACGTTATCGCTGAATTTTCGCCCTCATCGTTGTCAGTTGCTTCGACCTGCAACCATCAAAAATTCAATTTCAATTTTATCCCAATGCTTCAGTCCACCACTTGAATTCAAATCGAGAACAATTAATCTACTATTCAAGAACGAAATACTGAAGATGATGACTCATCGACATTTTATCCGCTATTTCTATCTTTTCAATTATATTTCAATGTTCCTGCGTCATTGAACGAGATGGAATCGATTCTCCACGGGAGATAAAACTCGGGGGCAGGAGCGATTAAAGCCACTAGATTGAATTCTAAATGCGAAAAAAATTGTCTAAATCTGAGGAATGAAGTTGATGAAAACATTGAATCGAACAGTCAGTGGTACCTTAATGACTTCCCGTCTGGCTTCTTCGCCGGCTTGAATTGTAATCGGTGGTATCATTGGCAGCTGCGGTGCATTGTCATTGACATCATTAAGCGTCACAACGAATGACAATGGAGTCGATGCTGCAGCACCTGTTTTCTCCCTGGCCACAACCTGAAATCGAAAACGTCCAGGACTCGGTGGATCGCGATCGAGATTCTCCTCATTGACAACGAGAGTTCCGGATTGATCGATTGAGAAGAAATGGGTTGTTAATTCAAATGTATAACTGGGTTTTGGATCCTCAGGTCCCTGGAGAGATAAATATAAGGATCAGTTGAATCCACTGATTTATTCATTAATTGCGTAGAAAATATATCTACCAGATCGGCATCAGAAACGGTGAGTTTGATGGGCAGTCCGGTCTTGTCAATAACTTTAGTTCCGATCGGTGCATTCTCATCAACGAAACCCTCGACTGCGGATGCAGTAATAACTGGTGGATTGCTGTCTACCGGTTTAACAGTAATCGTGAGTTTCGCCGTGGTTGAGCGTTTTGCTTCCGACACTTCGACAGCCTTTCGTGAGAAGAGAAACTTAATTATAATGTGGATCATGGTAAATGAAGCCTCGTGTATCCCAACTCGTCTCAACTCAATCGAAACTCGGAGATTAGAGTGTGAAAGTGCATTTACCTTGATGATGATATCAAACTTCTTGGTAACAGTTGTATCTACAGCTTTTATTTGCTTTACAGCACCAGTTGTTGGATTTATTTCGAAGAAATCACGATAATTCTCGGGCTTGCCACTCAAAAATGAGTATTGAATTGGGGCATTTATGCTGTCCATGTCGATTGCTTGGATTTTCTCAGGTGATATGTTGAGTATTCCAGACAGTACACCACTGGATACCTGATTAATGAGATCAGAGGAGGCAGATTGTGAATACATGTATCCTGCATTAGGTGGCCATGTTTAATACGGTTCAGTGCAAATCGAGCCAATTTACCGTATCAGTTGAATTTTTTCATTATTACTACTCTTTACTTGAAAAATATTTTGCCCACAAATTGGGGAGAGCCTCGGGTGCGCTGCTCTCCTCGACTTCCATGTTCTGATTTCTTATCAATTCACTCCGATCATAATTATTAACATTACACCCTCATTACTTGGAGCTTTCTAAGTGAAACAGTTAATCAACGTCAGAGTGACGTTGAATCATTGAATATTTCCTTTTAACTGATTAATTTAACATGCGAAATTATTCCGAATTGTAATAAAATCAGACAAAATCCGAGGGACAAAATGAGATTTTTTTTTACTGCGCATATTCAATTGAATCATCTCTCAGAACTACTCCGCAGTTCCTGTAATTTTTTAGAAAACTCTGGGGTAATTATTCATATGAATAATCTCAGGGCAAATTGCAGAAGAAGTTGTTCTTGCTCCGTTACCATCAATTCATGAGCGTTACTTCAAACTTCAGGAGTGAGCTAATTAATAAACGTGAAATGGGAGAAGACAAATCTATTCAGACGGCTTTTGCATAATTTGCATTTGTCAAATAAAATAAATGGAAAATTGTTTGGATAGTGAATTGAACGCACCGAGGCAGAGTACTCGGTGTTGATGCACGCTCCATCCAGCAGCATGCAGCCGGTGTAGATAAACGATGGATCCTGATCGTCATCGTCCCTTATGTTCACTGTTAACGTTGTAGTGGACGTAAATCTCTCTGAGACATTTCTCGCCCGATCCTGCAATGACAAATTGATTGGCTACCAATTAGTTGTGACCAGTAGCGCATGGAAAAAAAAAACGAGGGACCAGGTACCGATCGGCTGATGTAATCGGTGTAAAGGTCTGGAGAAAAATTGTGCAGTCATGTTTAACAAGCGTGCGAGGGTATTCCATGAATTTCAATCGATTTACAGAACAAATGATCAAGCTGATAAATTATTAAACGCCCTTTGCAGAAATCGAGGGTGACGGTTATTGAAGTTTAATTTAAGTTCTGGTTTACAATTTTTTTTTATGAACTATTTGAAAATATAATAATTGTCGGATCAGTTTTAATTATTAATAAATGATAATAACCTATCATTCCAATTTTTTAGAATGAAATGCATTTCGAGCAAAGGCTTCATCAAGAGATTATGTTTTACCGCAAATTTTTGTTCGGGCAATTAAAATTTTGGTAATTGATTAATGGGAAAAGTGTTTTTTTAAAGGTAGAGTAGAGAGTAGTTCTGGTTTTTTATATTTGCAAATAACGCTTAGGGAATGATTTTTATGGCGAGAATGAGGAAGAGTGGAGTTAATAAAAAAAGAAATGATAATTGACGCGGGATGAGGAGCGCGGAGTTGGCGAATGGAAGATATCTTCCATTATGAGAACTCAATCATCTGCAGTCAGGCATTGGTAATGCTATGTTATTTAATTCTCAGTCGGCGGTTTTAAATTATTAGGTAACCCGGTCACATTGTCCAAGCAATTGTGCTGCCTTTGTCAGCACCAATAATCCACGTCATGCCATTTCGCCGATCATTTATTTACTTCATTAACCGATTGATCGCAAAACCGTAAATTTCAATCTGATGCCAAAAAAATTGTACCGCCAATTAAAAAAAAAATATCTACCGAATAATTTTTTGGGAAATTTCAAAATTCATGTTTCTCCCAAAAAATTGAGGATTTTTGTTAAACAGAAATCTGAAACTTAAATATTTCACATTTTTTTTATTCGACCCCCAGAGGAATGGCGCTCCCTTGCCGATTTTTGATGGACAATTTATTTAATTGAAGTTATTTTACAGCGAGGGGAATGACTCGAAGTTAACATGATATACTCGGTAATTATAAAGATATAATGTTTGTTGGATCGATGTTTATGGATACGCGAGAGTCCGTGGGAGTGAACAATTGAGAAAACAAAGGATAGATCAAGATTGATGGAATAATGAAGCTAGACTGGAATAGAATGACGTTGACATCAGCTGGGCGTCGACCCAGGTGGCATTCCATGGGTCTCCACTCACCGTTGATTCAGTAGTTCCTTCAATTGCAACCGTCGGATTCATTAATGTTGAGAACAGTAACACTTTCACTAGATTTAATAGCCCCATTTCAAGCAGTCCCTCTAGTTTCAACGAGTAAAAAAAAAATGATGGACAAATATTTCCTCCTGAAATCCTCAGTCGAAATTGTCACAGCATATTAGGACCAGTAATTAATTTTATTTACATTCTTGCAGTTTCACATTTTCGCATTTTTTTATTTTTTCATTTTTTCATTTTTTCATTTTTTCATTTTTTCATTTTTGTATTATTGCATCATTGCATCATTGCATCATTGCATTTTTTTGGGAGACACTTCTTTCGTTTGACTCCTGGCAAAAGAAGGAGGAATAATGAATAAATAAAGGGGCCTTGTTCTGGGAATCATATTTGTAATAAGGGAGAGCGTGGAAAATGAAGAAATTGAGATGGGATTTTTATTGGTTTACGAGTGCTTTGAGTTTTATTAGGTATCGCATTTTCTTATTTACGCCGAAAGGACGTTGGGTTGCCATTTTTCTGTCGTTCGTATTCGCAGGAATCCCTTGAAATCGATATCACCGTTATAGCCGTCCTACAACGACCTCTCGACCTATCTGATATTTGATATTAGCACATAATAAACAATAGCTCCTCGGGGAGGTGTTATTTCTCGATTCATCCCACACTCGGATTTCCATGTTTGTTGAGACAGCATTTCTCACGTGTCATAACTGCGGTTTATGGAAAAATTTCAAAAGATATTCACTAGACGAATTCGTTCATTCGCGAAAACCGTTTTGTAAACTATTTTCCCCGGAATAGCTTTCGGGTAATTCGAGATTTCCTCCTGCTGCTCGCAATTCAATTTTCCTGGATTTTTATTGAAATCAAAAATTTCAGGACACTCGTCACCAGATCGAATATAAAAATTCACTCTGAGTAATTTCCAGTCAGCCGTGCATAAAATTTCAATTTTTATTTGAGAAGTCATTGCCAAACTTCTCAATTATTAATTTTATTCTATTTTATTTTATCATTAGTTAATGACTCACAAATTTTCACAGTCGTGAGTCTTTTTTCAAAATTCTTTGGCAAAGTTTTGGGAATTTTTCCAAAGTCTACTGAGACTGCGGGGAAATTTTTCCACGGCGATAAACCTTTCCGAGACATTGAATAATAAAAGGTGAAAACGGTACATGTTGTTACGTCAATTTTATTAGCCGCTCCTCAGGAATTCGTAAAGATAACTTGTCAAATGAGAAGACACCGGTAATAACTCCTCAACTTTACTTAGATAAGTTGATGAAGGTTTCGATAACAGAATGATAATTTCCGGAAAAGATTGGAAAATGGGTTAATTGATTTTGCTTCCCTCGACAAACGGATTACCCCGCGACATGAGATGTCCAGGATTTCAAATCTTCCCACGAAATGTAAGAAATAAAAAATGAAATTCCAAGGAAGCGATGATGAAACCTGGAGGCCGGTTTTTCCAGAGATTAAACGGGTTTCACACCTCCGAGCTGCCCAGCCATTACCAACGGCAGCAGCCAATAAAAGTCAATCTCAATTTTAATCTGGAAATATTGACCATCGATTGATGTATTACATTTTTCACCACAAAATGATAACCCACGGGACACACCGCACCAAGACAATTTCCGGAAATAACTCTCAAGATTTTGCGCAATCACCTCATAACCGTTTTACGATCCTGATCAGATTACTCTCCGTGGATGGAGTATCAATAGGAATGACTTGGAACATCACCCACGCATTCTGCTCTCCTGCTACTCATTCATTTCCCCGATCAGCCGATTGGCATTAACGTCGAGATTTCCATACTACAGAATTCCCCAGGTATTGAAAACTCATCAAATTCTCGCTGAGAAAATTTATACTGTCTTTACAAAAACAATTCCCGATATTGCAAGATGAAAAAGAAAAAAAAATCACGCTTAACCGATTTTCAGAATTTTTTCGTTTCCGGCTTCGAGGCTTACCCTTACGACCACCCGAGATATTTCGAGATCGATTTTATTTTTCAAGTAAATAATCTTCTTCACTCGTGACTATTATGGAACTGAATGTCTTATCACCGAGTCGTGCAATCTATTGTCCCAGGACATGATTAAAATTCCTGAGGTCTCATAACACTTAATCACTCCATTCAAAACCTCACAACTTTCCCATTCAAATTCCGTCATAAAGATTAGGTGATTCACCTCCACTCCAGATTGGGCCCGCACACCCCGAGAAAAAAATATTTCCGCAAATTAAATTCACTTTTACTAGAAGATTGATGGAAGAATTTAAATGGGAATTTCATGTTGACAGATTGATCGCAAGTCTATCTTAAAAATAATGATAAGATTTACCCTGACGCTTATTGAAAGTCACAATGTTTTAATTCTCACCACGAGGTTGAAATTCAAATTTCTCTGATATTTCCCTCGCGTTAATTCTCATGGAGCAATTCAACATAAATATTAATTAGCGCATATTAATTAGCGCAAAGACCGCACACGGGTGTTCCAGTGAAAGTTTAGCGCATAATCTTTATGGGTCCCTCGGTTTTTCATAATTTTATTATTGAAAAGGTAAGGAAACCGGGAATTCACTCTAACAACTTGGAAAACCAGACGGTGACTAATGCACTTGCATATCTGCCCACTGATATCCCGTGTTGAAGAAGTGTCCGTACATAGACAATTCTTAACTGCTCCTATTCGCCGAACCAAAGTCGTAAAAATACATTCAAAGCCTGGAATTTGGTCAAGGTAATACCTCGAAGAAACAAGAAATTAAGTTAGCGCTTTATTAATGTATAAAACTACGCTGTTAAAACTTTCGTCTGTCTCCACCACTGACTCCCGGAAATTTTTACGTTTCCGTATCCAACTCCCACTAAAATTTCATGTCCGCAAATAGAAACGCCTTCCGAATTCAGTTTCAATTGAAAAAGTTCACGAAATTTATCATTCACCTCGAAAGTTCAAGATAATTGAATTTTCCTTGAATCTTCAAGACGTCTAATTCGCGAATGAAGAATTAAATTCCCCGGAAATTTATCGTATAATTTCCAACGAGTGTAGAAATTGGGAAATCGAAGAAAAAAGTCTCTGAATTTCCTCAATTTTCCCTCAACCAATAATGAGAATAATTTGAATTTCCAACTCCCACAATTTTTTAAATGACAAAATCCGATAAAATTACCACGCCAGATATTTTCACGACTCTCGTCGCATAAATGTCCGCGAAAAATCTGAAACACCGATAAGAAAGTTTCATAAACCGATTTTTCACTTTGGTATCAGCAAATGGAAATGCCAGATCACGAGAAATTATGAACTATCGAAGGTCTGTGTGACGATGTGTAATCTACATCGGCTCATGCATAAACAGTGCAATGCGATAGAGTGCATTGAAATAATATGAGCCAAAGGCATTAAATGGACAGTAGACAAAGTATAAAATATCGAGGGAGGCGGTATGCAAATGGTAATGTGGGGATAGCTGACTAGCCAACGACGTGCATTTGCACAATTTGCAGTGGTCATCGTGTCTCATTTCAAGTTTTACAGGTACTCTGGGAATGAGGATGAATGATAATGACAGGGATAATTATATCCGCAATAGAAAAAATATGAATTCTGATAATTTCAGGGAAGACACCTGTGGTCTCGAATGGTCTAGGGAGAATACTAATATGGCAGCGGTGAGTCACGTGCTGCCCACATGACCAACGTCATCAGCACCGGTTTTCCAGTTTTAAATGTCGTAGAAACACTTTTTTTTAAACATTCAATTGGATCTCGAGCGAGATAACACCGCGGCTTGCTCTAATGCATTATTCAAGGATAAATCCTTCCGGGAATAGTGGAAAAATCCACACCTGATCCAGAGTCCATGACTCCAACCGGAGATTTTAGTTTTCCCCTGACAGAGCTTTTTCCTTCGCTCTCTTCTTCCTGATAAATCACTGAATTTTTGTCGACTCTTCTAGTGTTTCATTCGCGCTGATGACTTGAGCATTAAGGACGCGACAATAGTCTCGGAAAATCTCGAGAGGAAAAATTGGAACGGGTTAAAACGTCGCGGATGGAGTGGCGCCAGAATTTTCCATCGGTTGGTTCCAATTACCCGGATTCTGGGCGACGTCCAGGAGTGAAAAATTAAATTGAAGGATTTATCGGTGATTGTTCAGTCGATCATAAAACTTGAGGTGATCTTCTTGAGGATAAAAATTCCTTGACTCACCGATGCCAGAATCGTTACGAGATATCTCTGGGTTTTCTCGAAATCCAGGGTACGGTTGACAGTGACTTGTCCCTGGTGTGGTAAATTAATGCTAAAGTAACCATAACCATCGGCGGTCGTTATTCTGTCTCTTCCAACTCCATTGCTGTTGCCGATTCCACTTCCATCACCGGGTGCTATCGAGTACTCGACAAGTTCATTGACACCGGCGTCAGCATCAGTTGCAACGACATTCTGGAATATCGTTGAGCCAACTGGTGTCAGCTGTAAACAATAAAATAAAAATTATTCGTATTGAGTTTATGTGGCGCCATAAAATCACTGTACAAAGACCAGAGAACAAGAATGAAAAAAGTTTTGGGGAAATTATTTTCTCATTAACAATTTTAACAATTCAAAATATCATCTCCAATAAAATAAGGAATACGAAAAAATACGACAGACAATAAAAAAATTAATTGTGACACTCGGAGAATTAGTAGATGTGGCAGAATCTCCGAATGCATCAGCAGTAAAATAAATATTGAATGAAAATTCTCCGTAAATAAAACAAACTGTCCCTCTCCAAAAAATACTTTTATCATTTCCCCACGGTGTGTAATTTTTTTTGCTGACGTGGGAATGCGCGTCAAATTGTGGCAACTTGAAACCGGTATACACATCGTCTGTCGTAATGACTCGAAACTCAACGCAATTCTATTATAACGGTTTTTGATATGCGGAAAAGGCGATAGAATTTCATAATTTTTTGTCTAGATTTTATTTAATATATAACTCGTCATCCCATGGCTTGTTAAAATCATTCCACGTGCCGAGCCGCCGATGCCCAGACATATTTTGCAATTACGCGCCCTCTCATGGCTAATTAAACTCGTGATGCAACAATTTCACGAGAGGATTTAAAAAAAAACTCGAGCATTAACACAACGTCAGTTTCTTCAGCGATAGTCCTCACTGTCAATTTTTTTGTCCGAGTGAAGGTGGATGTCTCGCAAGTGTAATCGCTGTACATTACGAGCTTAATCACCTGGAGAACCCGGTTCAACGATCTAAACACTCTGAAACGGTTACCAGAGCTGTTCATGATAGTAATAAAAGTATTAACGATTGTCGCTGTGAACCCTTGAAACATGAACGATATTTCAAGAGCGAAATTCCACAAATTCCACAGCTGTTTGGTTTTTTTTATTTAAACAGACTCACCTCAGGTACTGTAACTTCATACGGTGTGTTGACAAATTTGGGTGCATTATCATTGATATCAGACACCCTGACGATGACGGGAATTATTCTCTTCTTGCTCGTTGATTTAACAGTACAAGCCAACTGTAAATTACCAAAAAAATAGAGTTTATTCATCAATGTCAGGGTATTTCGATCAGGTGGTTTGTTAAGCATGAACTGACAGCCACCTGCCTGCTGTTTGTCTCGGGAGAATAGCTCAGAGGAAGGGGAAAAAATATGACTCTCTGGAATGAAGCAAAATAACGAGATTCACGAACCGTTAGAGCGTCTGCAGGAACAGAGCTGTTGTATTGAGCGAATGAGCGGGCATTTTCTCTCGTTGGCAATTCATTAGTACTTTGGAAAAATATAAAAGTCCAAGATTCACCGAGGAAATTTATAATGCAACCGCAACTCGGAGAGTATTTAGATAAAGCAATTCGATTCGGTGTTATTTTCTCGAAGCGGTGTATTGGTTCTTCGGTTTTTCAATGAATTATACATTTTTATAGTCTTGTGTTTATGTTTCTAAATTTTTTTCTCAAAGTTCGGGGAATAATTGATAATTTATGGAAATTTATTTACCTGAAACACAACGTGAGACAAATTCTCGGTGTCTCTGTCCAATGGCTTCAGCAGACGGAGTTTTTTTCCATCGAGGGTGAAGAGGGGTGCCTTTCCCGGGAATATTAACTCCAGGGTGGTCTCATTGTACGGATTCCCCGAGACCGGAAGCTCCTCTGGCACGGTTGGTTGGTCGTAGGCTGTCGATTTAATAAAAACGGCAAATTGAGAATAATTCTCTGGATTAAGTTTCTTTAAAAAAAAAACTAATTACACCGAAACTCATGAAATTCATTTATTCCACCCAGAAAATTATTCCAATTTAATTGTTCGACGATCAAGGAAAATATATCACACCAGAAAATATATCAATATAGAATAATTTCTGGATGTGATTTAATACGAGATATCCGAGTAAAAAAATAATTGCAATCGGAATATTTTTGCCAAATTTTCAAAAAAAAATCTAGAAAACTTTTCAGTGGAATGATTTCTTTGGAATCGATTGTATCCGAATTGAAGTACTGAAATATTTCTCACATCGGAGGCAACAGACGATAAATCATGCCTCCGTGAAATCCATTGAGAATCTAAAATTATCTGAAACGAACAGATATTGATTTAAGATTTAATGAGCCAACTCCTGATGGATCAGCTGGAGTTAATGATCATCAGCATGTGGAATGGCGTTGCTGATGCAGCTGGACTCTAGATTATGATCGAACTTAACAAATGAGGTGGCCATGGTGGTAGGCAGGTATATCACGACTGGAATGATGGGGCCCAGTTCACAGTATATCCAAGGAGCATCGTAAAACTGCTTCCTGGCACCCATTGCACAGCCAGGGAAAATTACTTCCTCATGCGAAGCCTCATTGATTCCAATGTATGAGAGATAATTGATGTTCCTCGAATAGGGGCTACTCAATCGACTCTCGAGTCTCCGTGACATCTAATTCCTTCATGAACTGGAAAACTACGATAACTGGATTTCGCATGGAGTCTGTTATCTCGTGAATAACCAGAAATACAGAAATTTTTATAAATATCTTTTTTGCAGAGCAGTAAATGACCTAAAAAAAAGATTTCTATAAAAATTTCAATACCTCTACTCATTCAGCAGATATTCATACGTGATTGAGACTGAGTCGAATGCAGTTATCGTAGTTCGCCGATTTTCACGGATTCATAGAGCGATTATATTAATAATATTATTGTTTTGAAAAATAGTGAAGAAGTCATTGATTTCGCGAGATATATTGTGAAATAATAGTGGACATTTAGTGTCAGTGCGAATTATCGAAATGCACTAGCAGCTTTCACCGTATCTTCGAGATGGAATTTTTTTTTTAATCGAGGAGTGAGATTCCTATCGCTGTAAAACGGAGATATGATAGTCTAATAAAATTGAGTTGCCTACGACAAGGGCTTAACAAAGCTACATCATGAATAATTTATGATCAAAGTGCAGTGGATGAAGAGGAAGAGAGAAGACGACTGGTAAAATCCGTGTCCTCGGGGATCAGACAGAGTCATCGTGGTGTACATAAGCGTGAGCATGTACTTAGAATCATGATGCCATGAGGCTTGGCACCTTTCTAAACTTTATGCGAATGTCCATCCAGCAGTCGGGGTGAATTTGATGAACGTCATAGTTTCATATCTAATGTACTCACCACTGCCTCGACTCTCCTCGATGTCTAGGATGATGTTGGCCTGTCCTGTCGACTCCTCGCATAATCCTGAAATCGAAAAACAAAAAGAAAAATTACATCAGATGTCAGCAACAAAAGTAAATAATTATTTGGGCTAATTATATGACACTAGTTCAACTTCATGAGAAATTTATGAATGCCGAGTCCCAGAGAACTGTAAAAAAAGAGAAAACGTCATGTTTTTATTATTGGAATCTTTTTCTCACGCGATTCTATTTCTTTTCGATTGAATCATTCGAAATTTCACTTCATTATGCAAAGAAATTAATTGAATTCGTAAAACAGGATTTAAAGACGTAAAAAGTGAAATCAAAAGTCGATTAATTCTCGTAATACCCAGTTTGCCATTAAATTTCTACAAATATGTAATCTTATCGCTGCGACCGGTAATTAATTCAGTGAATAATTAAAAAATACAGCAGGGATACAATTGGGCAAAAAATTGAATGTCAATTGGCTGTGATTTTATGGACTAGTTGACATTTCAGGTGAATTTTAATTAAACATTCGAGCGTTAAATGTTGGTTTTCTCATTTTTCGTGCGTTAATAGTCTGTGGGATAATAAAAGTGAACAGTGAAAATGAAATCTCCAACGCACCTGTGGAATAGGTTGAAATGTAATACTAGATGGGTGGAAGAAAGAAGCACTAACACTTCCTGCGCAACCGTAATTAGATGCATTTGCAATGAGTTATTGGATAATCAAAATTTACCGTTCAAAAACGCCTCTAACTGTCGAGTCGATATGGAGTTCCGACATCGTGCAGCCCACACGTGACTGTCTGTTCACCATTTTTCATGTTGCTTTTATTTATCTTTATTGGGGCCCTTTTTTATGTGACCTTTATCACGTCGACATCGTCGACGTTTCGTAATAAAATGTATCCGCTATTTATCGCCGGAAGCGCTGGAAATTTGAGAACAATTTCCCTCCGAATATCGAGAATTTTCCATTTAAAATTTCCCTCCACGAAAATATTTTCCGAGGAATTTTTCTGAAGGATATTTCATCCAGAAAATTACCGTAACCGAGAATTTCCGTCTCCACTTGAATCCAGAAAAAAAAAATTATAAAAACTGTGCAAAGAATTTATATTATTCTTCCAATAAAAAAAAATGCGATATTGATGAATTTTCCGGTAATTGTAATCGAAGCTGGAGGAAAAGGTCATGGAAAGAGAAATGGAATGAATAAAATGAAGCGAAGATGCGAGGTACAATCGATGTTTTTCTACTGGAGACCGGAAGGAATTGTAAGTGGAAAAGTTCGACTTGGGTGAGACATCGTCAGTAGATTGTCCCCGCGTATCCAGTAAAAATCTAGAAATGGGAAAGAGGAGTCGAGGAAAATGTCATCACATTGAAATCCCGTGAAAGAAAAAAATGCGGAATGAACTGGTAGGGGAATGGAGAGGAGCGGCATCATCGCGGGCACATCCTCGTGCACAATGCTCCAGGGTATCTGCCATTATAGTTGTACCAGGAGTTTAACCTTTCAACTGAAGAGGCAGAAAATCTAGTTCCAGTGTTTGAGAGGCTACCCTTTGTTGGCTCACTAAATTTCCTCTCATCATTTTTTATCAGGATAGCAACAGTCTTTGCAAAATGTTCAATCATCTGCCAGTGCATGACTTTCTAGATATAATCAACTCCACCGAAATTGAAATGAAGAAATTATTCTAAGACCAAAAAATTGACGACGAAAAAATCTGAAATGGGGATAACTAATGGATTAATAAATAATAAATGCAAATGGAATGAAAAAAATGAATTTATTGTGTTGAGATGTTGGAAATAACAGGGCGAAGCAGTTAATGTCTTCTGAGTTTTGGCTGAAATTTCCGAAAGGCTATTCCCTTGGGCGAAATCCTTTGTGGTGAAATCAGGAACAATTGCCTCAATTTGAGACACTTTTTCAACTGGGAATAAAGAATAAAATTGCTGTGTGAAGAGGTAGCGGTTGTTTTACGACGACAATTTATGAAAATCATAGCTGTGAGCCGTCAAAACAAATGGATCCATCTGGAGAACATTCCACACCTCAAAGTAAGCGTTTATTGCTATTAGTGAGGCATCGTGTGATGACCCATAATCCAGCTGATTTTTTTTTAAGGGGAAAAGAAGAAATGCCGGCAGACAGCAGACCCTGAAGAGAATCTCTTCCGCATTACAAAGAACGGGGACTTCCCATTTCCTGTTGGCATCCGAAAATAGATTAAATTCCCGAACAGAAAGTTGAATGTGCGGCAATAGCTTTTATGGAGATTGTACCAGTAGAATATATTCATGCACTGAAGAATTATTAAATTGCTCCGCATCCTTATATTCCATGGAATTTCGTTACTGAATAATCCGAAATTTCCAAAAAAAAAAAAAATTGGAGAACAAAAAATCGTTTTTGGAAAATTGTCAAAAAAATTTTCCGGTACAAAAATTATTGGAAGCGGGTAATTTGGAATTTGAAAAAAAATTCCGACCAGTTTTATTTTTATTTTATTATTATTTATTATTATTTATATTTTTTTCAGTGGCTTTCAGTTGAAACAGTTGTGCGCGGTGAAATCCCTCTGTTCTATTCTCTGTTATTTAGTAAATTTTTCCGAGGACGGAAAAGGAAACATTCCCACGATATTCTCCAATAGTACCTGGCAGCACACACAATTTCCACTTGCCAGATTTCTAACTGCCATGTAAGCCGACAGTATGAATATCAGAGCAATTGCGCAAGAAGTAAATCAGTTGGGGCGTGTAAAGTGCAATGGAGAATGGGCTCGTTACGCGTTTGAATATCTGGACTCCGATATATCCCCAACTGTTGGCAGCCTTTCTGGCTATCTGCTGATTTTGTGGGGTAATGGTGACTATTTGAGTCCTTTGTTACAAAGGATTTGTTAGCTCAACTGGCGATTGCTCGGTTCAAGTCAAACCGACTTTAGTGGTTTGTTACCGAAAAGCTCCTGATGTTTACGATTAACACAGAGTAATCCCACCGTCTCCCCAATAAAAAACGATTCCATGAAAAATGGATTTTAATGAGAATTCATTAATTAGCGTAAGTTATTTAACCCACCAGCTTTGGCGATGACATTTCTGGGGATGGAACTCGAGCAGATGATGCACAGGATCCAGAAGACACTCGACCGCGCCTGTAACATCATTGAAAATAATTTAATTAATGATAATTAATTATTGATAAGGGGCTGATGATTGCTAGTTCAGTTTGCAATCCGGGGTGAGTAACTTAGAATTTAATTACGATCAGTGGAGATGTCCTGAAATGGCTCATTAAGGCCTCAATATCTCAATTAGCATGAACAGAATATGATATCATGATCGTGGTAATCCTCACACCTCGATAAATCAATCTTCCGGGATTGAGCCGATGTATGATTCACGAATTTCGGGTAATGCGCTTATGGATTACCCCTCAATGTACTCCGGTTATCTTCTAGTGCCAGTGGAGTGTTATTGCTATGTTACACCCTGAGGATTACTCCGTTAAAAACTGTAATTGACCTGTGACGAATCTCGCAGAACGACAAAAAGATGTAATGACTTCTCAAAAAATGATATCATACATCAATTGCACAGATTATTATTATTTTGTTATAGAACAAATTGACAGAATTTTTTAACATCAACAATTATTGTTCAGGGTTATTCAAGGCCGCATGACCATCCTCTGGAGTAATAATTATCATAATTATTAAAATAATGACACGCAGTTGAGATCACCTGGAAAAAATGCATTTTCACGAGAATGGATATTCCCCTGGGAGAAATGAATCGTTTTAAAAAATAATTTTCAGCTTCAGTGTGGTGAAGTGAAAAATCAGCTCTCGGAGGATCTTCATAAAAGGTAAGATCAATAGCAAATGGCTCCTTTCGTATTATGCTAATGCCGTGTTGGCGCGTTTATACGGTGCGACGGTTGGTACATCGGCTGGTAATATAACGAGACGCGGAGGTTTACAAAGAGGAGTAAAAAATGGGAAAGAGAAAAAAAAAAGACCGTGAAGAAGCCCAAGGTGAATAAAAGTTTCCGGATGAGGGAAAACAATGTTATCAATGCCGCGGAATCTTCGGATGTTGGCAAGAAGTTTTGCCCCAACTCAGCTAAACCCACAGGGTGTTTCTCACCTTCGGATGCGCGTTGTACGCGCCACTCGCGCACTTTCTCATATTAAATTTAAGACCGTGGGGCATTTTGATGATATGCGCAAGACTCGTGAACAAGTCGTTTGACCGTGAAATTTTTTTGTCCCCCTCCCGTCCCTCTGGGCTTTTTAAGTGGTTTTTTTTACTGTTAAAAATTTTGTAGAACCAACAATCTCCTCCATTTTTTATCGAGACCTCGTCTGCATGCCCTCGCGTACCCCCGGAAATTCCTAGATAAAACGATAAGAGACGTAAGTACCAAGTTCACCAAGTTTATGCTCTCAATCTTCAGGAAAATCGCTGGGAAAATATAAGACGGGATTTTTAGTTGCTTTTTTATTGGTATAATGCAGTGGAGGGATTGAGTTCGGGATTTAGGTTTTGGATGGGGCTTTGATAGTTGAGTGATGAAGCGGAAAATCGAGGCTGGAGGTGCTAAATCTGGACTATTCAATTATTTCTTTATCATATTTTCTTGTTTATTAATGAGAAAGGAAGAAATTCGGTATCTGTAATTAAAAAAAAATTTTAAAACCCGTTATTCGTCGGATTTTATGACTTCTTTAATTTTCGAAATCATTTGGAATTTTTGAAGACCCCGAATTCTTCGAGATAATTGAATTTTTAATTAGATGACGAGAAATTTCTTGATTTATGTCTAATGTAGAATGGAATTTATTGTGAAAGGATAATTATCGACAAGTGGAATATCGATAGTGAAGCCGATGGATAAAATCCCTCAATCCATTCATTGAGTCAAACCACTTTTCCACGTATCTGAACAGCGACTTTCTCCGAGAGGATCGCAATGCAATTACTTGCTAATAGAGTCTTGTCACCGATATCCAGAAAAACTCGAGTGCGCGAAAAAAAAAAAACAATTGGCAACATTTTAAATAAATACGTTGCAGCGTAACGGTTTAATAAAATCGTACTCGCTCTTCGACAGTTGATGAATTTATGACTCGGTACCAATTTGTATGGAAAAAACAGCGAAACAGGTGCACACGGCATCCCTCTTTTATTTATAGGGAAGAACTCCACTTTATTGCAAGGTAATATCGTTAATTGATGGTGAATTTTTCTCGCGTGTCAAGCGGGTCGCCATTTTTTCTGATGAATCCATTATTTATCGGTGTCATCTCAGATTGTTCGGACGAGTATTTACAGAATCCATATCCACGCCATAAATTTTCACCGCGATAAACATTTAAAAAATAAATAAATAAATAAATATTTCACATAAATCTACCTTCTTCGAATTGTAATGAATTTTCAAATGATCCCAAATGATGTTTCGTCCGGAAAAATTCATAATCGACTCTCGATTTAATTTTTAACCAGCGACGCGACAGATTCACTGGATCTCCTCCCAGATTCTCTCCCCAGATGCAAATAAAATCCTTGACACGAATGGGTTCGCAAAAAAAAAGCGGTCCAGATTGAAAGAAAGGGGAGAAGTGAGATGGTGTAAGTAAGTCAAGAAGAAAGGCAGTGAGAGATGTTACAGAATGGAGTGGGAGGAATAGGTCGGGTCACGCGAGCTACAGATGAAAGTCTCATGTGCTTCTGGCGTCACGAGGAAACACGTATTGGATCGATTCATTCTTTCTCCTCTCGACCCCTCGGCCACATTTATTCCAAACCTCGTATCGGTTGTTGCTGTAATCCACGGCGTTAAGATTGCCAGCCGTCCCCCCATTTTCCCGTGAGCACAACTCGTTGAAACTGGCCGATAGGATTATACGTGGAATGGTACCGGTACGTGATCGTTAAATGATCATAAGTCTGTGCCCCGTATTCCCCGGGAATCGTTTTTCGTTTACAGCCACGATGACCTAATCCCTGACCCCAACCACGCCTTTCGAGAAATAGATAAAGAATTTCAATTTTCCATTTCACCATTTCATCTATAAAGCGATTTCAACTTTTACCGTTTTTTGTCACCCATTTTGATTGATCCATTGGTTAATCGATTGATATTTATTTTATAGTATGTTGATTAATAAATAATTAAATTTATTAAATTAAATATGTAATAAATATATAATAAAATATTAAATTTATTAAATTAAATGTAAATAATAAAACGCGCATTGAATTGATTGATGAATGGATTTTGTAGTCATTTTCAATTTTTACAGCATCTTTCTGGGAAGATCGTCAAATCTGATGGCTCGGGGGTGCACAAAACAATCGTTAATGCTTCTCTTTTTTAATTTTTATTTCTATTCTTCAAGATCCTCGAGATTAAAATTCCCTGAGAATGATCTTGACACTAGATGTTCGCACGAGCAACGAGTAGGATTAGTCCCCGGACTGCGTGGGTATGAATTTATCGGTCTAAGAGACCTGTACACACCGGTATTTCCTGGCGATTTTCCACTCCAATCCCAGTCGCAATATCTCGTCGGTATCATCCGACAACGCAACTACACTTTCAGAAAAAAAAATTCAATTTAATGGAGTCCCAATTTTCAGGACCGTAACACGTAATGCGATTTGCGGGAAAGAAAATAATGAAATTTTACTCATACGGCGGGAAATATTCAATAAAAATTACGTGTCTTTTTCGTAATTCCTGAACGAAATTTTGATAATATCGAATCTGGAAATAATGCGCGATGTTAGCTGACAGAATCTTCAGGCCCTGTCCTTGGGAAATTTTCTGTGCGTGGGTTGACGCCCATAATCCGGGATATTCTGGGATTATACCCACGTGAATTTGTACGCAAGTACAGAGAAGTTGCGTTTAATTACCACTGGAGAGAGTTTCCTCATCAATTTCTAACGAGTCCCCGAGTTTCATAAATAAAAACGTTTTCCTGTCCAAACCACAACCTCCAAAAAAAATCCACCAAATCTACCAAATTCCATGAAATTTTGCGCGCAAAAAAAAATTAACCCATGAAAAATTTGCAACTTAATTAAATATTCCCGGATCCAACGACATGAATGTCAATTAGTCTCTCCCCAATTTTTCAATTGCACTTTAATTGCAATTAAAAATTCAGAAATCGAAATTATTCTCCAGTTCTTGACTCGAAATAATAAAATATACAGTTTTGTCTTGAGTTTTAGGGGTTTGTCATTCAATTGTTATTAAAAGAGATTAAAAAATGGAAAACGTTGGTAATTCCGTAATGAATGAATACGACATTTGTCGAACAATACGACAGACAGTTGAGATAAAAATGTATTCCCAGGGTTGTCTCACCGGGATCTCCATAAAAAAAATGAAAATAACGGAGACAGACTGTCCCAGGATTCGCATGGGGCCCAAACTGCAACCTATCACAATAGAGAATTACTTCACTTTCTACAATCAGTCTTATTAATCTCGAAAGTATGTCCGCGTCTCGGTGCCCTCCCTCCTCGCGACTCCAGCTGTTATCTAAGTCGGAAGCAAATCACAGCTCTCTCTGTCTTTTATTTAACTCCAAGGCTTTTTTAATTCCTTCCTCTTATAATCCCTGAGATAGTTGCACAGGCGGGGTCTCTTGAGGCACTTGCGAAACGACACTGTGGCACGTCTGGGAAAATTTGAGATAATAGAGGATGCCGGGGCAAAAAGCCACCGGATGTTTGCACTTGTAAATCACTGGAGAAAATGAAAAGAATCACGACGAGAAATTTATTTCGCGCAAATAACTGGACTTGGAGATAATTGATACGGATTTAGTTCACGGGGAGAGATTTATCGGGATGATCTGAGCGTGAATGAAAATCATCTTTCAGTCATTCTCCGTCATTCTCAGTTTTTCCGTTTTTAATTTTTCGAAGGAAAAATATAAAATAGAAATGTCTGGTTTTATTTTCGAGGTTTTAGAAATAATTCGATACCGTCGGTCGTTGCCGAGTGTTACGTCAGGTGTCAACGCCTGACGTTACAAGTGTACAAAATAAATTCAAGAGTTATTGATTGATCCGGTCCCCTTGTAGAAATATTTTCGATATTCTCTTCAGAATTCTCCATTGAGGTCTCGAG